AAAAAAAAAGATGTCCGCTGCAGTGCCGCATGCTGCGGGGCAGATCTCTCAATGGATAGCGGCGGCCGTCAAAGTGCCACTGCTCCGCCCGGCAAGCTGCGTCAACATGACCCAACACCCCAACATGGCCGACGCCCGCCGTCTTCTGCGTCCACGCTTTTGAGAGCGCTGACGCACTGACGACGAAACTCAGCTCATTTCCCCTTCCACGCCCTCCTGCCCCCCGCCTCGCCTGATGCACGATAGGCCAACCAGCGTCCGATCCCCTGCTCCCCTGCTCTCGACCCCGAATCCTACTTATAACGCTGCTCTCCCTGCGTCGTACTCCTCCATCCTGAACCACACGCTACTTCATCTTGTCACAATGTCCGAGATCAAGAACAACGAGAACGGCTACCAGGGTGGTGTGCAGACCATGCGCGCGCTCACGCCTGGCGGCCACCCCATGGACTCGTCCCAGCCGGCCTTCCCCGTCTACCACCGCAAGTTTGCCAACCCTGCTCCGCTCGGACTGTTCGGTTTCGCTGCCACCACGTTTGTGCTGTCGATGTTCAACGTCAAGGCACGCGGTGTGACGGTGCCCAACGTCGTCGTGGGTCTTGCCATCGGCTATGGTGGATTGGCGCAGTTCCTCGCAGGCATGTGGGAGTTTGCGGCAGGTAACACGTTCGGTGCGACTGCATTCGCGTCCTACGGTGCCTTCTGGTGGTCGTACGCCATCATTCAGATCCCCTGGTTCGGCATCGTCCAGGGCAACTACAACCAGAACGGCGTGCCCGAGGCACAACTCGCCAACGCGCTCGGAATCTACCTCAGCGCCTGGTTCATCTTTACCTTCATCATGCTGCTCGCATCGTTCCGTTCGTCGGTCGGCCTCGTGTCGCTCTTCTTCTTCCTCGACATCACCTTCCTCCTGCTCTTCGTCGCCGAGTTTACGGGCAACGCAAAGGTTCAGACCGCAGGCGGATCGTTTGGCATCCTCACCGCCGCAATCGCCTGGTACGTCGGCGCGGCAGGTCTGCTCACCCCAGACACGAGCTTCTTCACGCTCCCCGTCATCGAGCTCTCCCGCAAGGACTAGAGCCCATGCCTCCCAACTCTGCAACTCTGCTTCACCCCACCATGATACCATCGCTCTAGTCTTTTTTAATCTCCTACCACCTTTGGCGTGCTTGGTCTCCTTGGCCTCTCACAACCTCCCCCCCACCTCTTCGACTTCAATCTCGACACGTTTGTGCTCGATTTCAATCCCTAAAACATTGATCTTCCATGTGCAGCGTGCGTCCGCTCCTTTTGTGGCTTGTGCGGCGCGTCCTCATCGCAGCGTGCAACCCGAACAATGCATGCGCTCAACCACTGCCTGCCGACCACGCCTGCCGACCACACCAACTGACACCAAAGACGATCTTGTCAATGCGTTTGCTCACGCACCTGAGTGAGATTTCCAGAGCGACGAAACCAAAAACATGCTTGCGAATGGGTGCAGGGGAATGAGTGGTGTGTGCGAGCTGCAAGACTGGATGCCACGGGCACGGGGCGATGCTTGGGACAAGCTTGCGGCTGGCTACGGCTTGATCTGTCCTGCGGAACCGGTAAAGAGACTCTGGTTGACCTCGAGCAGGAGCTTGACTTCCTGCGCATAGCCCTTTGCAATCTCCCAAGCGCGCGAGAACTTCTCGAGCGCCGCCTCGATGTGCAAGATGCACGATCTCAGCTTGATCGCGAGCATGTACGCCTGCCTACCTGCGATCGCAGGGATTTGCGTCGTACGATGCGGGTCCGGCTGCAGGATGGGCGAGAGCTCGGGCAGCTCGCTCTCGTCGATCGCATCCGAGGTAAAGTCTAAGTCGTCCTCGAGACCCGCTGCGATCTGGGCATGCAGCGTCTCCATGAGTAGCACGTAGGCCGCCAGCACGAGCGAGCAGGCCGAGAAAGGCGGCAGCGACGGAGCAGACCACTGATCGCGGTTCTCGCGGCCATGGCTATCCTCGACGGGCAGCACCGCCATCGACTCGCGCCGTCCATGTTGGAAGGTGCTCGTGTTGATGTGCGTCAGTTGCAGATACATGACGCCCGCCGCAAAGCGACACCTGTCGAGCGACTCGGACGGCTCAAACGGTCCTCCGCTGAATCGCGACGGGATGCCACACGCCATGAACGTCACCGCGCCACCACCAACCGATGCCGAGGAGCCGGTGAGGCTCTTGGCCACGCTGCCGTTGCCGGCGTTGCTGCTTAGCGTGCTGCCGCTTCGCGATCGAGCGCTCTGACTCGTGCTCGAACTCGGCTTGGCGCCTGCCTCTAGCAATGGACTGTGCTCTTCGCCCGAGGCCATTGGCTTGCCCGAAGGCGGAAGCCCTTCGGCCTCGCGGTGCCACAATCGATCGGGTCCACCCCGGCGACTTCCGACGTCAGACCCCGTGTCGCTGTTGTCCTCGCAAGCGCCAGGAATGCCGCACGTCGGCGCCACAAAGATGCGTGCATTTGCAAACGCCTGTGCTCGATGCAGAATGATCAAGGCACCGCTCGTCATCAGCTTGCCCGCCACGCGCAGGCTGCGACTCAGGCGGATCTCGTTCTCCTCCTCAAACTGCGCGGTGCGACGCGACAGACCCACGCCGGGCGCAAAGCAGCTCTCGTCGCTCCAGGCGGGGTCGGAACGCGCGTACTGCATCACATCGGCGTCGACCTTCTGCATACGTTCAAAGATCATCTCCCATCCTCGTCGCTTGTCGCGCGGCTGGTTGGCCGGATCCGCCAGCTTGTTTTCCGGGCGGTTCTTGAACGAGTCGAGGTCGTACAGGCTGGCATACGATCTCGAGACGAACTGAGCGCCGCGTACGAGCACCTTCCAGCTGGATCGATCGCCGCGCAAGTCGGGCAGGAGACCGAGGTCCGAGGGCATGTCGCGCGTGACGGAAAGCGGCTTGAAGCCACCGGTGCACGACATGACGGTAGCGGCAGTGTAGCACGTCCAGTAGGCTCTGCGCGCCCAGTCGCACTTTTGCGCGTGGCTGAACCACGATGGCGCGGAAGGGGCGCCTTCGCCCGAGTCGAGGTTGAGTGCCTGAGCGTGGTTCCATGCCTGCAAGGCGTGGTGGAAGGCGCGACGGCTGTTGGACGTCCCGTAGTGGTAGTGCGCAAGCAAGGTGTGGGTAGCGACGAGCTTGATCCTGACAAGCTCGATGTCCGAGGCCGCACTGCCGCGGTCATTGCCCGTGAATCTGTTGGATCCCACCGCCTTGGCCGCATCGGAGGGGAAGGAGGACGCACGTGCGAGCAGCGCAACCTTCTTGAGCAGCAGCTTTTCGGCGGATTTTGCGTGGTAGGCTGCGATCTCTTCGCGCGAGGAGTGTTCGAGGTCGAGGAGCTCGGCCTTGGTCTCGTGATCGTTGGGGTCGTGGAATAAGAGACTGCCCTTGACGATACATTTGGCTTCGGTCTGTGGGAGCTGCAGGGCGACGCAGGCCGAAATGGCTGCAAGCAGCGCCGAGGATTCGTCCTCAGACAAGTGGAAGGCGAGCGACGAAAGGTGGCCGGAAGGGAGCATGACAGGACAGGCAGGATACACGAGCTCGTAAAAGTCCTGGAGCAGAGCACGCGCCTGCTGCTCCGAGTTGACAGCGACGCTGGATTTGCTTGCGGTCTCGATTTCGAGGAGCGCCGAGGGCATGTCGACCTCGATGGTTCCGTACTCGTCCACATTGGACATGGCGAGCACGCCGGCCTTTGGCAGATCTTCGAGCTTCTGGTAGAAGTTGGAGAGCGAGAGGCCGACGGCTGCCTGGTTGGGAGCCAGTTTTTGGAGAAGGTCAAAGTTGGTGAGGGTGAGGTCATCGAACAGGCCGCCTCCGACGGCCGCATCGGGGCGGAAGAGGCTGCGGGGTGTGAGGGCGTTGCGCTCGCGATCGAAGGAGAATGCGTCAACGGCGTCCTCGGCGGGGCCATGGCCATCTGGCGGAGCCACTTGTGCGCCAAAGATGTTGGGTCCCGTACGAGCAGCATCGAAACTGGGTGCATGCGGCGCAAACTGTTTGTGTGGGTATGAGTTGGCGTGAGTGGTGTGGTCGTGCGGGGTGGATACGGAGGGAGAGTTGTTGTTGGAGGTATGGTCGGGTGGCGAGAGGGAGTGCGAATCGTCGTGAGAGTAGTGGTCGAAGCTTCTGGAGCCCTTGACCTTGCCGGTCTTTTCGCGCTCGTCGAGCTTGCGTTTTGTGGCTTCTGCGCCCTTGACGCCTTTGAAGCGGGGGCCGCCACGCTTGGAGGCGACGTAGACGCAGCCTCCATCGTCCTGGGGGAAGATGTCCTTGACGCCGCGGAGAGCGCAGGGTCCACAGACGGGCTTTACGCCATCGCACTTGCNTTGGAGGCGACGTAGACGCAGCCTCCATCGTCCTGGGGGAAGATGTCCTTGACGCCGCGGAGAGCGCAGGGTCCACAGACGGGCTTTACGCCATCGCACTTGCGCTTTGCGGAGCGACAAGAGAGGCAGGCGGCGCGTGAGACGTGTCTGTGGTGGAGGTCTGCGGCTTGATGGCGTGAGGACGAGGCGTACAAGTTGGCTGTGGGCGGTGGGTTGTAGGGGTGAGGATGGAGGTGCGGATGCTGTGGGACATGCTGAGGATGGGCAGGGCCTGCGCGAGATGGTTGCTCGGCGTCGAGAGGGTGGCGCTGGTCGAATTGTGGATAGGGCGTGGGACGTTGATGCTGGAAGCCGGGATGGGGTGGAGCGTGTGGATCGGCCGGTGCAGTGTCCCAGGAGGTACGCGGATGAGGCGGGTGTGGCGGCATGTTGAGATCGTACTCCTTCATGGCTCTTGGAGTGTTGACGTAGAGCTGGCTTGCGGGTGCGGGGGCCGGGCCGTAGGCTGGCGGAAGGGGTGGTTGCGCCATGGCCTGGGGGTGGGGGTGGGTGTGAAGGGAATCGTCGTGAGAGGGCGGATAGCTGCGGAGCGACATGAGCGGCGCCGGATGGATGGTGCAGGGTGCCGGCGGCTGTGGCCACAGGACGACCAAACACTGCGAATTGCGATGCAAGGTTGGAAGAGATGGCAGGGCAAGACGGAGTGTGCGTGTAGGTGTATGTGGGCACTATGGCAAGGAGATGTCGTCGAGAGAGAGAGAACTGCGGGATGCGACGATGCGACGATGCGACGATGCGACGGAGCGGGAAGACGGCTTGGAGTGTGGGGCGGTGATGGGCTTTGTTGGGGTCAGGTGGGCGGTGGGTGGTGTGCGGCGAGTTAGGAGGCGAGTGGACGCTGCAAGCGCGAGTGACGCGGTAATGACGTGTGCGGGAAATGCGGTTGCGGGAGTGTGGTGAAGCAGGGATTTGGAAGGTGGTGGGCTGACGGGAGGGTGCAGATGAGCGTGGGAGGGGTGAGATGATGGTAGCAGGAATGCATGCCAGCCGAGCGTCGGATTCGTGCGTCAATGGCGGCGTGGAGGACGGTGGGGTGGGAAGTGGGAATGCACAGAGGCTTGGCCAAAGCAGAGACCGTTTGGCCGTGAAGCTGTGAAGAAGCAGCAGCAGCAGCAGCAGCAGCAG